GTTCGTTAATCTCAACTCCAAATAGAGGCAACTAAATCTTTCTATCGATTAGTTGAGGTTTATTGTATTACGCATGCGCAGAGACTTACAGTTAGCGACATGCAAAATAGAATATTTTTGAGAGCTTTGCTTTTTAAATAATCTTTTTTTTTACAGTACTGTAGTCAGTTCCGCCATTTTATTTTTGTGTTTGAATCATTAATAAATGTTAATCAATATTCATAACTGTTTATTCGTCAGTACATGTTTAAAATATTTTGTATGGCCTCTTCTCTGATTGACTGAGAAAACTAAACTTTTCTTTCTTTTTTGTCGTAATTGACTGATAACCTTCTTAACATTTGTTTTTCACATCACCTTGTGATGCACTTGGACGCATCATCTGTGATATTGCCTAAGCTTACTGGGCGTTTCAAGTTTTTTAGCAATCAGACAAAGCAAAGCAAATGTTGTAGATCAAGTTCCTACCGCAGGAAACGCTGCTTAAGTCAAAAATTCTCTCCACTCTTAAACCATAGTCGCATTAAAGCAACTTCTACTGCTTCTGTAGCCAAACATGATTGTCTTTCGTCTACTGGATCCGGTGATGGCAAGCATGTTGCAGACACTGCAGAGTGTCTGGCCTATAATAATCCAGTTTCCTACTTCAATATGCTTGCAGTCCATCGCCACAAATTACAAAGCTGTATCTCCAGCTAACTTGTCTTTCACTTCTTCGTTGATTAAAGATATCCAAGACGAACAGATATATTATTTGTTAGTTGAAGAGTAGAAAAAAAAAACATAGTTTTATTTCTCTATTCAATAAGTTGTATATCAGTAGCCTAGAAACTACTGCCCTGGGACCACATTCATTCGGCTTGTGTTCGTGTCCGGCGATGGGGCGTGGAAGTCAAATTTGCTAACTGTAAATTAATAAATCACGAACGATCACATAAACACAAGAAAACGTAATAGTAACAACCAACTATAAAAAAATAACAAGTTAAAAAAAAAACGAATAACTCTATTAATAGCCAAAAATACTGCATCCAGATCCAGAATTATTTCCACACAATAGCCCCTAGAATAATTCGAAACATAACCGTTATAGCCCATCAAAATAACCGTTGGAACAATAAAATATGCCCAGGAAAGAAAACATTAATACGAACACAAGAAAAATTGAATAAAAACTTACTAGTAGTACTTTGTCAGTTGTCTTAGGGAAACTTATACACACATAGGCACACACACATACATACATCCCTGATATTGAGCACTTATTATATATATATATATATATATATATATATATATATATATATATATATATATATATTTCTTCATATGAAAATACTATCCACAATGCATCACTGACGTATGTATAAATCGTCGAACAAAAAACACAACGTATAATAAACACAATGGCCTGATGACATGAAATAGATTCTGAGCGTTGACTTCAATGTTCACTATATATATATATATATATATATATAATGTCTGTCTCTGCGTTTGTGTGTATATGCGCGCTGGCTTGACGCAATATTCTCATCAACGCTGCAAAATCTTCGGTAGGAAGAACATTTTGTGGTGTAACCGAAAGTCAAGGCCTGGTGTGTTTTCATCTGATGACAGAAATCAGTAGAAATCCGAATTAAGTTCTGGTGACTATTTAGAAGTGGAATCTAAAACTGGCGTGCAGAGTTCAAATTCAAAGCGAGGTCATTACGTTCACTTTTGTACAAATAGTCTTGAAAAAATTATAAATCTTAATCTAATCCAGCCAACTAAGGGCTAAATAACAAGGCAGACAAGCCTTGGTTGGCAACCGATATAGGTAAAGAAAAACTAATTTTAAAACCAACCCGAAGAGAGATGGGCTCCGTCAGTTTAACTTACCCTAGATGTATGATGTCTGTACGACAGGCTACAGGATTTGCGATTATAATTCTTGCTATCAGGTAATGGGGATCAATTTCGGTATTTTTTTCAAGAAATTATAGTAATTCCCACATTAAAAGAAGCTGTGGAGAGCTGTAGTCACCTATGTTCCGAAAAAACTCTTTCAGCCAAAAGAAACTTTCTTTTGGGGGTGAAACCTAATGTAACTACGAGATTATTCTGTTATTCAGTGTTCAATATATATATATATATAGATATAGATACTGACTTCAAAACCCAGCAGCGAGAATTTGTTTCATGACCTGGGGATTGTGTTCAAGCAGACTGTTATCTCTCCGTGTTGACCTCAGCGTACGCTTTTATATTTACATACACATTATCGCTCATATTGAGCACTTTTGCCCATAAATATAACATACCCTAAAATTGAATTATATATATATATATATATATATCCCTGATATTGAGTACTTTACCTATAAATATAAAATAGATTAAAACTATATATATATATATATATAATAAAAAATTAATTTTAAATACAATTTTTCTTTTCTTTATTCTTTATAAAAATCCTTTTTACCTTGAATGGAAAATTTTCCAACAACTGAAAATGAAGTGATGTTTCATAAATTACAATTATAAGATCGTTTATTACTATCATTGTGTTAATTACCTGAAGAGACGTTTTATTTAAACGTCGAAACAAAATGTACAATTTTGTAATTACCTACATGTTCTTATGTTATGTATTATATATATATATATATATATATATATATATATATATATATATATATATATATATATATAATCAAGAAAACGTGTACTTTAAAAGACCATGGTGATACTTATTTCCGCTAAAATCGAAATTTCGATTTCAACTCTTCAGAACGGAACATTACACAAACAAATCCATATAGATTACCATATTTTATCATTATATATATTTATATATATATATAATGATAAAATTTATATATATATATATATAATGATAAAATTTATATATATATATATATATATATATATATATATATATATATATATATATATAATATATATATATATATATATATATATATATATATATATATATATATAAAAAAAATAACACACTTACGTTATGTATTAATCCGAAATTTCTTTCATACATTTATTCTTTGGCGGATTTTTCTTCCTTTATGGGCTGTGTTCCTTTAGGACGTAGTCGATCATGGCTCTTCACAACTTCCTTCATTTTTGTAAAACCGTATCAATGTTTGTCTTTTTAATATCCCTCCTATTACCTGTTCCACATTTCTATTGCCTTCAGTCTTCTCTTCATCTGTGAGAAAATTGACCAGAATTAACTACTATATGAGAGGATTGATGTTACATAGCAATTCAACAAATTTTTATTTGTTTCTAACGAAATTTTTCTTTGGAAAGCATCGTTCGTTAATCATTATTTTTTTTTTCTTAGAAAAGGCCATTATTGTTATAATATATATATATATATATATATATATATATATATATATATACAGGTAATAATTCGTTGGTACATAATCCAAATGAATCTTAATAATATAAAATGTTAGAACTGGTCGACAAAAAGAGCTCAATGTATTTATTATAAAAGAGCATATAAAAAACATTGAAAAGAATTCCAAAATTATCTCATTCGAATAGCTATTTAGACCCACAAGACTTACTTGTAGATCTTGTCAACTCAGAGATATGAAGAAATAAGTGATTTTAAACTCTTTTAGCATATATATATATATATATATATATATATATATATATATATATATATATATATATATAAGCCAAATGAGAAAAAGGTCAAATGAGTAAAATCCACAGTTCGAAGCATTTACTTTAAAAAAAAATTCCTCAATGTAAAGCAAAATATTATTATGATATTTTTATTATAAGAGGTTATAATAAAACAGATTATAATAAAAAAGATTATAATAAAAATGTTTTATAATCTTTTATATAATTAGATAGATAGATAGATGTAATAACCCGTTGGTAAATAATCCAAGTGAATATAAAATATTATTTCTTCATACCTCTGAGATGACAAGGCTTATAAGTAAGTCTTGTGGACCGCAATAAGTATTCGAATGGGGTAATTTTGCATTTCTATTCTATGTAATATGTGTGTGTGTATACCTAGATTCTATCCTCTTGGATTTATTTTTTATACAAATATATATATATATATATATATATATATATATATATATATATATATATATATATATATATATATATGTATGTGTATGTATGTATGTATATATATATATATATTTTATATATATGATTGCATATGTATGTGTATATTTACCACTATATATATATATATATATATATATATATATATATATATATATATATATATATATATATATATGTATATATATAAAGTAAGTACGTGTATTATTTTTCCATCTGTACACATTCCAAACCTTTGATGTTAAATTTCTTCATACTTTTATTACTCGTATTTAATAGCATACAAGACCTATCCTTTTTTTTTTTTAAATATTTAACAAAATGGCTAAGAATTATCCCCCGGGGTTTTACATGTGAAACTGGGGTGGCTAATGCCTATCCATCTAACTCCATAATGCTGTAATTTTAAATGTAAATGGGGTGTGTCTTATATATCGTGAAGTGCAGTCATGTGAAATTTTATAATATTTTATTCAATGTCTCGCTTGTTAGAACTGTCTAAAAACGACAGTAATATTTAAATAATTTTGCAGTTTCATTGGTCGTTGCTTTTACATGAATAATTTAGTATTTTTATTAAACAGCTTTCGTCTAACGAGTAAATAAAGAATTCTGTTTTTAAAATCATTTTAATAATAAAAAAATTAAATGTAAAAATAACAAGAAATAAAAAGCATTCTTATCTGCCTTACTTACCAATGAGATATTCTGTTGTTATGGTTATACTGGCTTTTTGGTTACCATAAGAACGGAATATCTTATTTGTATGCAGAGATCAGGTTGGTGGGAGGGGCACTAATTATATAAAAAGACACAGTGTTTTAAATTACAGAATATATTACAATTTTGACACATTTCTAAAAATATATATTGTAAACATAAAGCTTATTCTATCTATCTATCTATCTATCTATCTATCTATCTATCTATCTATCTATCTATCTTTCTATCTCGGTATGTTCATATCTATCTCTCTATCTAACTGAGTCTGTTCAAATCTATCTATCAATCTTGAGGTAGCTTTATCTAACGTAAGTCCTCATGTGAATAGAATATTGAAATCACTATAGTAGTCCGTGAGAATAGCTTGTTAACCATTACTCACTGCCAATGCTCCTGATATAAGACACGTTCCTTCTCACTTTTGTTACTGGTGCTCACTGTGATTTTCTTTTCGTTATTAAATTTAATCATCTTTATTATCTGATTGCTTTTTATTAAAACATATGAACCAGATCGACTGATTCTTCGACCATAAAAAAATGAAACAAGAATAACTAGTGGCTTCTAACAAAGGAACTGATCTCCCACTTCATATCTGAGATACTTGTCTAACATGGACAGCGCTCTTACCAATTCTGACATGGAAGCTTCGTATAAAGCAATCTCCCACAATACAGGACGCAATTTAAAGATTTAAAATGAATAATGCAGACGCCTACCCAGGTAACATCTTCTGATTGTTAGTATTTTTCATATATTTGAATTCAGGGTAGACGTTCATCCCAGTATGTCGTTCAAGTTTCATAAAACTGCTAATAAAAATACTTCATCACGGGATTTCAAAAAAAAAAAAAATGAAAGAAAAAAGAAAAGAAAGAAAAAAAAAGAAAAGAAAAGAAAGAAAGAAAGAAAGAAAGAAAGAAAGAAAGAAAGAAAGAAAGAAAAGATCTTCTGCAGTCTTTCATTATTATTTGACACGGAACTTTCCGACGAGAACACAGCGACTGCAGAAGATTCTTAAAGAATAAGACGTTGCATCCATTCCTCCACGGACCAGAATGAATCAACCGGTGTCCGACCGTCAGTTTTCGTTTTCCAAACTCAGGAAGAAACTCTGACATTGCCGATACAACCGTACACACCCTGACTTCGATGAATCAGCAAAGATATGGACGAAAGAAGCAGACGAACACACATGCACACGCGCGTGCACATGCGCAAAGAAGAAAACAAAGAGGAAGCACGAAGGAGCTTTATTAATGATATAAAAGATGAAGATGACGAGGCAAGGAAAAGAAAATGGAAAAGTCTTCTGCCCTTGGCACTGTCAGATAGCACTGATTAAATATAGACTCTCAGTGGTTCTACAGTTCCAAATTCAGTGGACACACCTCGACGGCGAGGAACTTTATTATCAACCATTCTATGTAGCTTAGATACATGACTTATCTACTGCAGTCTCTTCATTTTCTATTTCAGATTTTTCTTATATCTCTGTTTCAGCCCGTTCATATTTATATTTTCAACTTTTTCCTATCTATCTATCTATCTATCTATCTATCTATCTATCTATCTATCCCAGTCTATTCCTATGTTTATCTATCTATCTATCTATCTATCTATCTATCTATCTATCTATCTTTTCCACATATAAACACTTCTGAACGTTATTGTTTAAATGTATTCTCTGGGCTGTGGGTTTCTTAACAAAGTAATATTACATGTGATTATATATCTATCAGTCTTTAAAAAAAAGGGGACAATTATTGCTGGCATTTATTTAGCATTGATTTCACATAGCTTTACAAACATTTCATATATTTGCTTTTATAACCTTTCTTTATAAAATTTCTTTGGCGAACCAATTCTTTGATTCATTTTTCACCAGTTTTTCTTTCCTTTTATTGTACCTGCTTATTGCTAACTTCAGGTCGTTTTATATTCTACGACCGTTAATAAAGTAACATGGATCATAAAAAGACGTAGTTTCTGAAAATAATTAAACCCCTTTTCTCCATCCATGGCAAATAATAGTCATTTAAAAGTTAATTTAAATAAAAAAAAATTATTAATATGCATAAGGATAAATCCTATACTTGGTGTTAATATCACATTTTTACTATTATGTATAAATTGTTTATACAGTTATATATATATATATATATATATATATTATAAGAGATTATAATATATATATATAAATGTATATATATATGTGTATATATATATATATATATATATATATATGTATATGTGTATGTATATATATATATATATATGTATATATATATGTATATGTATGTATATATATGTATATATATGTGTGTATATACATATGTATACATATATGTATATATATATATTATAAGAGATTATAATACATACATTTTGAAATCGCTACAGAAAAGCTTTTATGTTTCAATACTATACTTGTACTTCTTCAGGCGATGGTAAGTAACTTTCTCTCATTTGTATATATATATATATATATATATATATATATATATATATATATAGGGTGAGGCAAAAGTCGCCCGCCACAGGGTTTAATGGATATGTTGAAGAGGTGCTGCTGAGTAACTACCGAGGTCACCAGACCTCACCCCTTTGATTTTCATTTCTGTGGGCCATTTGAAATGAAGGAAATGAAGAACTTAGAGA